TGTGTGTGTGTGTGTGTGTGTATAATTACAAATGACTTTATACAATAACATAATAATATATAATAAACGATTGAAAAGATTTTTATAAAAAGTATTTTTCCCCCCCAAAAAATAATATTTTTTTCCTAAATGACCACATGAAAAAAATATATATTCCATGATGAGTATATTTACTAATGTGGCATTATTAATAAGCAGATATTTTGTGACTCATAGATGAGGAGGGAACACAGAGCTTAATAAACTCTAAAGTCTAATAAACATAATTGGCCAAATTAAAGTTTACCTAAATATTTATGATGTTTCTTAATTTGATTTGCCAACAAAATCATTGCAAATGCATCATAAATATTTGATATATCGCCCAGCCCTACTCTTATGTTTAAACAAAACCTTGCATCCAGACATGCATGCCTCCCATTACTTATTTCCAACCCCCATTATGGATTTAAATACATTGATGGGTACAAAATGTACCCCTGAGGTCAAAACATTTCTTTTCATCCTTTACATACATATTTTTTTTATTATAGTACATTGACATCATCATTTATAATAGTTTCTGCCTCAGAACTCTGATACAGGGTTGACTGAGTGCTGATATTTCCATTCTAACCTCTGGTCAACACTGTCCTAACATATGATGTAATATAAGGGACGCCGTTTTGGGGCACCATCTATACCTGTCAGCATCAGGAGATTTCTGTCCCATCAAAGAGGAAATTACAAATCTCATGATCCCTTTAGACGTATGACTGCACCCCCTGCCCCTTCTCCTAGCTCCATTTGGCTGGTCTATCTGCTTGTCATCGCTATGCCATGTAACCCCTCCAACGACACACCATTTTTAGTTGTAGTAGCCCATGAATCACAGGTTGAGTGGGGGTTCCCACAGGAGTGACTTTAGTCCCGCCCCTCCAACTGCTCTCTCACAGGTAGGTGGTTGTAGCAGATGATTGACACATGGGGTGGTCAATCAGCATGAGTTCTCCTTGTAGGTAAGATGCTCGCTTGGTAAAGCATCGTAGGGCTCTATAACTGCTGTAACGGTGCAGAAGATGTTTCATCCTTTAACCATCTTTCAGAAAACAGTGTCTCTGGTCCTTTTCCAGAATACCATGTGATGACAACGATGTTTGATCATACATACCTGTGTATGATCACATAACAGTGATTATGTGAACTGCTAACCTGCTGTTTATTTTTGTGACTGTTTAACCCTTTGACATATTCAGTTTCGATGTCTAATTACTAAATTGTGTTTTTCTTTTAATTGACAACCATCTGACCTGTGTCTCTTGATTTTTCATTTGTCTGATATTGATTGATTAATTTTGTGCAACCTCATCCTGTTTGCTTGTTTGCTTTTAAATGTAGAATGTCACTGTATTATGTTTGTTTTTAAAAATATTTTTTAAAAATTAGGGATTAAAATTATAAAATTATCTCTTGATATGATAGGCCCAATAATTATTTTCTTGTTATAGCTGATAATTGATAAATGGCTAGCGGTCGAATTCTATATATATATTTTTTTTTTTTTTTTTTTTAATAAATTAATAATAAATACAGAAAGCTTAAAATGTTTAAAATGCTACAAGTGGTTGTAGGCACCACAACATTATAATAAAAATTATTCATTATTTTCATGTTATGGCCGATAATTGATAAATTGGCTAGTGGTCAAATTCTATATTATTTAAAAAAAAAAAAAAATTTAATAATAAATACAGAAAGCTTAAAATGTTTAAAATGCTACAAGTGGTTGTAGGCACCACAACATTATAATAAAAATTATTCATTATTTTCATGTTATGGCCGATAATATTATGACCGATAATTCTATACAATTTTGTCTAAATAAATTAAGAATAAATACTAAAAAAACTAAAATAAATTGTTTAAAATGCTACAAGTAAATGTAGGCATCACAACAACATTATCTTATACAGTATGAGTTTTAAGATTTACTAAAAACGCAAAAGTTATCTAAATGTAAAAATAGGGGAAATGAGCCTCAAAATAACATTTCCAATATTGACTGATACTGGCGAATCATAAAACATCAGCCGATAACTGATATGGTATTGATATATCATGCATCCCTATTAAAAACATTATAATAAAAATTATTCATTATTTTCATGTTATGGCCGATAATATTATGACCGATAATTCTATACAATTTTGTCTAAATAAATTAAGAATAAATACTAAAAAAACTAAAATAAATTGTTTAAAATGCTACAAGTAAATGTAGGCATCACAACAACATTATCTTATACAGTATGAGTTTTAAGATTTACTAAAAACGCAAAAGTTATCTAAATGTAAAAATAGGGGAAATGAGCCTCAAAATAACATTTCCAATATTGACTGATACTGGCGAATCATAAAACATCAGCCGATAACTGATATTGATATATCATGCATCCCTATTAAAAATTGTTTTTGACGGCATCTTTAATCAAAATAGAGGTCCAATCTCATATTAAGTGTCTATCATAACTGCATAAATCCACAAAAATTTTCCATGCCAACTTTTATTGTTACACTTAACAGTTTTAAAGCATTATATGTTGTAGTCCTACACATGAATATGCAAGTAGTGCCTACTTTTCTTTTTAATTAAGATGTATTTTGGAATTTTAAATTAAATCTGAAAACTTAAATGAATTCATTCTGATATTATTGAGCTAAAACATCCATTTCTTCCCGTTTCAGTGGAGAACGGTGAGCACTGTGACTTCACAGTCCTGAGGAATATGCTCATCAGGTAAGAAACAACATTACGTGAGATAACTGTGCTTTAATACTTTGTCCTCCTAACCAGGCACGACCTGATAACAAATACTGAAAATATAGAGAACTTTTATTTTCTGACAAACTGAATTGGAGTTTTGATCAAAGTTTAACCTGTCATCAAACAATCCATTCTAGGACTCACATGCAGGACCTGAAGGACGTGACCAATAATGTTCACTATGAAAACTACCGGAGTAAGAAATTAGCAGCCGTCACCTGCAACGGGGTCGACGCCACCAAGAACAAGGGCCAGCTCACAAAGTACGAGAAGAGTTCTATTTTTAGCTAAATGTTTTTTAGTTTTTGTCCTAATCACCCTTTCTTGTGATCAAGTCTGCAAAGTTTGTCGAGGCTCTCCTGTAGCCTAACGGTTAGAAATTCATTAAAAGTCTTGTCTTCAAGACATAGTTCACCCAAAAATAAAAATGTGCTTAAAGTTTACTCGCCCTCAGGCTATCCAGGATGTAGATGAGTTTGTTTCTTCCTCATGAACAGGTTTGGAGAAATTTACCAATGGATCCTCTGCAATGAATAGGTGCTGTCAGAATGATAGTTCATAAAAACATCACAATAATTCACAAGCGATGATCCACGTCCATCTATTAACATGTTGTGTATCAAAAAGCTCCATGTTTGTATGAAACAAATCCATCAAGACAATTTTAAACTTAAATTGTTGTTTACAGCTAAAATACGAGTCCTCTATCCATAATATTGCTTTATCCAATGTGGATTATTGTGTTTTTATCAACTGTTTGGACTCTCATTCTGACGGCACCCATTCACTGCAGAGGATCCATTGATGAGCAAGTGATGTAATGCTAAATTTCTCCAAATCTGATACAATTGTTGCAATGTCTCTCTTGTAGGAGTCCCCTGGCCCAGATGGAGGAGGAGAGGAGGGAGCATGTGATGAAGATGAAGAAGATGGAAATAGAGATGGAGCAGGTCTTTGAGATGAAGGTCAAAGAAAAGAAGCAAAAGCTGAAGGACTCTGAGGCAGAGGTGTGTATGCGAGGACGCTTGTGTTTGGTTTCTAGTTCCAAATAACATATTTTTTCCAAATGTTCCAAATACATAACATAAAAATCCTTGGGCATCTTTGATGCAGTTGGAGCGGCGTCACGAACAGATGAAGAAGAATCTAGAAGCTCAGTATAAAGAGATTGAGGAGAAGAGGCGCCAGTTTGAGGAGGAAAAAGCCAACTGGGAGGCCCAGCAACGCATCCTGGAGCAGCAGAAACTTGATGCATCAAAGTGAGACTCTCGCTGTTCTTTCAGCTCAATTCTTCAGTGTCTTTCTCTTAAAATAGCCTTTCTGTAACTCTCTGCAGTAAGCAAAACAATATTTTAAATAAGGACCTGCACTCATGCATAGAAGTAGAGGCTGACTGTCCCATTTGCCTCTTACACATTGAAAATCTGCATTCAGAACTAAGTTTTAACCTGAAATAAAGTTTTAGTATTTAAAAAAATAATAATAATTTAGTTAAGTGTATTTGAAAATTAATATTTTACATTTTAATTTGATAAAGGTTATGATTTAATCATTTATGAGATATTGAAGATATTGAATTCTGCATATTGTGGTTTGTTTTGAACTTAATTTTAGTTATAATTTTTTAATTAGTATGTTATACATGCACTACCGTTCAAAAGTTTGTGGTCTGTAGTTTTTTCCGCTCCAGGATTTTTGATAGAAAGTTAAAAAGAACAGCAATTATTTTAAATAATTTTTGTAACATTATAAAAGTCTTTACAGTCATACTTATGATCTCCTTGCTGAGTATTATTTTCTTTCCAACAAAATAAAAAATAAAATAAATAAATAAACCAACAAAAAAAAAAAATCTGACCTTAAACTAGTGTATAGTATTGCAATCAGTATGCATAACAAGCAGTGGCATAAAAAGAAAATAATAGTATCAATCATTAAAAATTTAAATAGAGGACATATTAAAATATAAAAAATATTAAAATGTACAGTAACCATAACTAACAATTTTTATTTTAATCAATTTCTTTACTAATGTTTTTGTCTTATTTTTTTTTCTCAGGACAATGGAAAAGAACAAGAAAAAAGGAAAAATCTTTTAAAGACATCATGAAGCTCCATTCCTTATAAAACCAGAAACTCCTTGCATCTCTTTTGATGCTCTGATGTTTTATGACCCCATAAGAAACGCATGCTGGAGTGCTAGGGTACAGTTAACTGCACATTCCATTGCACCATGAATGATATTTTTATAGTCACACCCACACACAACTTTACCGCACTCTTCTGGTTGACTATTATATTGCACCACATGCCCAGTATGTCAAGTGTTTGTTCACGACCTTTCGATTAGAGAATATTGACCAACATTACTTTAAATTGTGGTTATTACAAACAATACTTCATCTTTGTAACAATTTCTGACTGTACAGACAGACATGTTCAACTCTGCTGTCCACATTCACACATCTTAGTGTTAAGATGGTCTTATGGTAGGTTCGTATGGGTGTGATGGAGAATGAGACAGACAGACAGAAGCAAGTGCAGAGTTACGACAGAGCTAAGCATGTATGCGTTGAAAAGCAAAGCTATGGATAAATGGTTTATGTTTTTTTTTGGTTTCTGCTGGTGTGTGAGACATGATGCTGTGTGTTTCTTTGGGGTCGTAAACATTTGAAGACCTGTTTTAACATTATTGCACAGCTAAATTATGACTTTTAACAGTTTTCCATGTGTTTAAACCCATTTGCTGGCTGTGTACGTAGATAATTGTGTCCCTACCATAAATGGTGTTATACAAAATGGCATGATTGTCAATATTAATAACAATAGTCATTTTTGATATGGATGGATATAAAATAATTACAATAATATTATAGGATGTTGCTCGAACATTCTGCCTTAAAATTGCAGACTCTTTCGGCATTTGTCTGCTCATGTTTTTTTGTTCTTTTTTTTATTTTTTATTGTGAACCGATTATGTTAGATGTCCCTCAATCAATTCCTAAACTGATCTGAGACCAGTTTGTTTCATTTTAATAGTCGGAACTTGGATTTTTAGTTGTTGGGGCTGGTCCTAGATCAGGGCTTGGTGGTCACTTTTGACCCAAGTGAGTTCAGTATATCTAAACAGATGTTATTTTAGCCATTCTTACCCAGATTACCCATTATAATAAACTCACTTTACATTCTAAATGTAAATGAGAGTGGAAGCTCTCTGTTTCTGTTGGATAGTTTAGATTTATAACACTCAGGCTTCAGGTCTA